ATTTGAAAAATAAAACCCCCAAAATTTTTCTCACACGTAACATTTCACACTGACTACCCTCACTCAGTCAACATAACATACTAAATACTTCTCACACCGTGAATATTTCACACAGACTACTTTTCACACAGTGAACTTTACACACTGTGTATTTTTCACACAGTGAACGTTATACATACTGAATATTTCTGACACAGTGAACATTTCACATTAAATACCTCTCACCCAGTGAACATTTCACACTGAATATTTCTCACACAGAGAACATTTCACACTGACTACTTCTCACTCAGTGAACATTTCAGATTGAATACTTCTGACACAGTGAACATTACACACGGAATACTTCTCACACAGTGAACATTTACTTGTATACTTCTCACATAATAAACATTACATACTGAAAACTTCTCACACAGTGAACATTATATACTGAATACTTTTCACACAGTGAACACAACATATTGAATACTTCTCACATATGTATCAAATCAAAATACAAGTACGCACTGACTGAATAGTGCAAAGATGTTTGAGCCAGTCCTGGTCTGCATTGTAAACATTGGTAGATTATGTTGCCGTCAGTACGTACTCTGTAGGATCAAGATTAAAATAAGATTGTTTTAAGGAGAAAAGGGGCAAGATTATGCAAAATGTTAAATAGTAGTATGTTTTCAGAGTACACACGTATAGAAGAGAATGCATGCATGGAGACATGCGACTAAAAAGTGAACTTGTTGCCAATGGCAGGCTTCTATGACAGGACCACAAGGGAGTCCATATGAGGGTGGCTTGTTCTTGTTATATTTACAAATTCCTGACAGGTATGTGATACATCTTATGAATTATTTTTAGCTTGATTAATAGGGAGAGCTTTTGTCATCATCTCGGCGTTGGTGTCACACCTTGGTGAAGTTTTGCATGCAAACTGGTATTTCCAAAATTATTGCAGGGAATGGGTTGAAACTTTCACACACTTAATTGAGAGCATAATGGGAAGTCAATGTTTAATGCCACTATATCTAACATTCATTTTGATAGAATTATGGCTCTTTTTAACTTAGTAAATTCTAATTTATCAAGACTCTTGTTTACTATCAAGCATTGAGAATAGTTGTGCATACAGTCCTTCAAACAATTCATATTATAGAGACAAAGGTCTGAAACTGATTACTTATTATGCCCCAAAGGGCATGACAGCTCTTGTTTGTGTGCCTCGAAAAAAGGCGACATAGAGGGGTTACTCTTGTCGGAGACGTCGTTGTCGGCGTCGGCGTCCCCTTAAGCTTGTCCGGAGCATAAGTCAGTCATTATAAGTCGGATTGACCTCAAACTTTGTATGCATGCTTCTAAGTGCATTGCACAATAACTGGTACTCTGCATCTCTATGTTCAGTAATTGCCCTTTGTTAATACTATATTTATGTCCGGGTCATTTCTCCTAAAGTATAAAAGCTATGGACATGAATTTTCATAGGATGATAGATCTCATTAAGAAGAAAATCGGTGCACAAGAACCGGAACTCTGGACTTCTTATGTTTTGAGTTATTATCTTTTATTGATTTCATACTTTATATTTGTCCTGGCCATTTCCCCTAAAAGGATGATAGATCTTATTGATAAGAAGTGCAGTGCACAGAAAATGCTGCTTTGCACTTCTATTTTTTTTAGTTATTGCCCTTTTGTCCTGGCTATTTCTCCTAATCTATATTGTTCACAAGGCGACACATCCGACTCGAGGAGTTCTAGTTTTTCTTTTAAAGTTATCTTGTTTCTTTATCATTGTTTGTGACTTTTGCCTAAGTTTGTCATTAAGTTTATAAAAGATAACCTTATGTTGTCATTTTTTTTTTTTTTGGGGGGGGGGGGGGGGGGCTTAATGAGACTTTGTTGAAACATGTTTTTTTTTTTGATAAAAAAAATTACTTGTATTATTTACATGTATAATATTTCTTTTTGTAAGAGTTACACTACTGTTTTACCTAGAATTCATGGAGACGTGGGCTTAGATTCTATTCACTATAACTGGAGCCTGGCTCTAACTATATCAAAAGTTCTAATAAGTATCCAGTTATTATTAACGGACCCATATTGTGATGTGTGCATGGAACCAGCCATTGGTTTCTTGTACAGTAAAAATAGACAAGAGTTTGATAGAATATCGCGATTATGGACATGGAAGTACGCAATGCACGATTTTCTTATGCCCGATGGAAATAGATCTAAATGGATTATAGCATTATAATTATGAAACAATACTAGAGAGTTGCAATTTGTAATTTGTTAGCTGATACATATGTGAAGAATTTGTTTTAAACAATATTTTTAAAATATGAGCAAAGTTATTTTTAACCCTTAACCTGCTCAATGGTTGTAATGGCTCTGTCCAGCTTTGAATTTGAACCAGTCTATTGAAAAGTAAAGGGGTTTCAATATCAAAAGCTAAAAGTAGTATCAAGGTTGATCAGACTGCACAGATATGCAGGCCGACCAAGCTCTATACCAATGGTAAAGGTTAATCACTTTTTTCAAGTGGAATAAGGGTAAAACTGCCTCCGTGGTCGAAGGGTGAGAGTCGATAACTTCTAATCCATTTACCTCTCTGACGTGGGTTTGATCCCCGGGAGATGCTTTGGTAGTTTAGCACGGAGGAAGGTAGTCTAGTACTGGTGTAACTCTCCAGGAACGATGGTTAGGAAACTACCTGCCTATATGACTGAAATACTGTTGGGAAAAGGCGTAAAATGAAACAAACAAAAAAAGTTTAAACTGACATATGAATTTATTGCAGCAATTACAAACATGACCTTTGGTTGCATTTTCAAGATTTCTTCCTACTGGAGTTTAAATATTAAAACTATAATACACATCGTATATGAAAATCTTATCTAGGTAAATTAAGTAACAAGGGATTTATCTCTGGAAAATATGAGTATTAATGAGAATGTTCATAAATAGATAGATATGCTAACTAATGAAAAAATATGTTAACAAATTGATTAAAGAAGTGTTATAATAATAATAATAATAAAAAACATGCTATAAAATTGATGAATATATTCTTTTTTTCTTTCTTTTTTTGAAATAATAAAAATCAATAAACATGGTAAGAAATGGAAAATAAAATACTACGAAATTTAATTACTAAATTGTAACCTCTCTAGTTTTTAAAGGTTGTGCAATTATATATTTGTTAATGACTTAAATTGTTATTGTAGCTTATCTTGCATAATTGATTATATATGTTTATCTTTTATTTCATGTTTTAATATCATTTTTCTTTGTTAAAGACATATATATTGTTTTATATTTTTTCCCCAAATTTTGCATTTTTGACAACTTTATATTGTTCTACAAACCATATTTTCTGTCATAGAATAAAGCAGTGAAATTATTTAAAAGCTTTCTTTGTGTTGGATACTCAAAATGTGTTCTTTATATGTCAGTCAAAATTTGTATTTCAACATAGTATAATGATATGGTGGTGTCTGTCAATCTGTCTGTGGACAATTTGTTTCTACACAATGATTTTAGGATATTACCTAAAATGCTGGTAGCCTTGATTTTGACCTAAAATATTTTCAATAACAATATAACAAAAAATCAATACAATTAAAGTTCAAGATTATTTTTTAAACATTTGGGTGACATATTGCATGACTAGCTGAATAAAATATGTTATGTCAAATCATAGCAACCAGAACTTTTGCACATTTCATGCATTTTACATTCACTTGGTTGCTTCTAGCAATTATATGAGAATTGCCGGATGTCCATATGTTATGTTGACACTTTGGATGTTTCTAAGGACATACTGGAACAAGTAAATCGTCTTCACCAATCGAAAAGAGCAATGGAACATGGACATCACTACCTGGTCAGTGTATCAATATTATCTTACACAGAGTTAGGCATGGGGGAATCAGGAAACAGTTTTGTTTTGCTACATGTATGACTGAAATGAATGAATTGTTTGTAATATTTTGCTGTGTATCTGTTGACCCCTTCCTTTTTTCTTCAAATAAAAAATAAATATACCAGTATACTAGTAGGATATTGAACAAACTTAATGATACGGAGGTCACGACAGAAACTGCTGGTCAAAAAAATTAAATTCATTAAAATATGAATATCAGTGATCAATGGACAAAATATTAAATGTTGGACTATATATGGTATTAAGAAAGACACATGTTTGTAAGGAGACCGGGTTGTTGAAAAACCCCCCATTTTTCACTTTTAAAGAAAAACTTTAAAGACTTTTTTCTGGGGGGTTTTTTCATATAATTAAATTTCCTCCCCTATATATCTTTTTTAAAAATTCCCCTTTAAAAACGTCTTATTTCATTTTAAAAAAGGGGGCGCACTACAGTGAGGGCCCATCGCGGGTTTAACATTAGCCCGACAGTGCGACGACAAAGGGACGGTTGAGGTCACAAATAATGTGTGCAACGCTCGAATCGCACGACATCTTTTACGCTGCCAATTAATTAAATTTTTAAAGAATGAACTTAAATACGTTTGTATTGGTGTTGGTTGAAGAAAATTATCTTTAAATCTCAAGATAATTAACAACGCAGAATCTTTATTATACAAAATGAATACCTGATTAACACGTTGTTGTTGTGATGGTTATAACTTGTGGACATACTTAATATGTCCGTTTACATGTATATTTAAAACTAAACAAAGCTTTCAAATATTTCAAATAATGTATTAATATGTTATGGATTCAGCTTGATTATCAAGCAATATACAGTAACTGACGTCATTGCAATTTATTTCTAGTGATTTATTTGCCGACTGGTCCCGGACCGCCGCCTGGGTGATGATCACCACCTCCTGGTGCAGGCCCAAACCCGTGACCACACCTGCATGTACCGTCTACACAATGGAAGTCGCGGTCACAGAAATTGTTACTTCCGGGAGCTGAGTTCTGGCAGTCGGTCGGTGACAAACAAGAATGTTGCGTGGCTGATACAGAGACAAAATAAACATTAATGAGGCAATTATTATGAAGCTATGAGGAAATATAATCCTTCTTTCCTTAAGAAGTTTGGAAAACAAAGAATCTCCATAATTCATTTATCTTCAATCTTGAGAGGCAATACTATCGCATTCTTTAAGTTTTGAGATGAAGAAGTTCATTTTCCTTCATTAAAGAAATATCATTACATTTTTTGAAGAAAAAAAAAAGAAGCAAACAATAATGATCGCCCATTAAGTATTGAAGATGAATAATCGTGTTTCCGTACAGATTCAAAATTTCTCATAATATGAAGAAATTCTTAAGATTTTAGTTTTAATCTAATCATCATTGTCTTAAAATTTGAAGAAATACAGTCACATTGATTATAAAATCATGAAAATAATTACTTTGCACGCAGCTACAGATTCTTTGATCACATGTTAGCACATAGTCACGTTCCGGACAGGTCACATGACTACAGTCGGAAGTCACCTGACAATCTTCGGAGACTGAAAATAGTATAACATTTCCTCTTTACAGTTCTTTGTTTTTAAGCATCTCAGAAAAAGTCTTTTTCGGGGTTAACCGAATGAAGATTCTTTATTATACACTTGTGAAATGTTTTTAATTTTTCTGGGACACATGTTGACTAAAATTATTTCGAAACTTGTACAATGGTGATAATGTTCCATATAAAGAATCGCTTTAAAATTCTACTTTTTAAACGTTAATAATATAGAATTGTATTGCTAACAATTTTGTTTAAAGTTTTTGTGGACAAAAAAAAGACCGGGCCTGATCTAACAAGTGTATCATTAAATTTATTTTGAAAATCACTTACTTGCTACACCGACCAACACGACGCAGACGACAATTTTCACAGTTGTGGAATACATGTTGCTGGAATGGGAAATTATGAATTGACTAACAGTGGAGAAAAATCTCATTATATATGCACTATTATCATTAAAACATGAGACGGCGTGGGCTTTTCAGCGGCTACTTGTGACGGCTTTCTATAAATGGATAATGTTTAAAATGGTCGAATCATAAATGGACAACAACGTGTACTAATCGCATGCTGTAACGTGAGCGTCACATATTGCCTACTTCCATAATCATATGCTCGATAAGTGAAAGAAACGCACTGGGTGCACCTTTTTTCTCATTTCTTATATTTATTGTACAAAAAGATGTTATTGACTTCATCTTGATATACTCAGTCTGTGACAAAGGATTGAACATTTATTAGTTTATAATGACACAACATTTCGTTTAATAAATTAATTTAAAAATATGATACTCTTGGAAATAGATTATCTGATATTATTATAGTTTGGGACATGCTACTTACTAGAACTGCGGCATTGGGTAGAACGTAGCTTCTTAGAGTATTTCATTTTTTCACACAGAGTCACTTAGAGCACAAGAACATAATAAAAGTGCACTACATATTATCAACACTCCAATCAGTTGCCAGAAAGCTCTTAATATGAAAGTAACTATTTAGTGAAATTGCAGAATTAAAGGTTCAACACTTTGATGATCAATTATTTGTAATTATTAAAAAAATTTTTTATAAATAATTCATGTAGAAAAAAATTTTTATAGAACAATATTTTTCATTTTCTTTGATTTATTGTTCACGAGCCAAGTTATTTTTCATTCTTTTCGACACAGGTTTAAGTTAAACAAATAGCTCATTATATAAATACAGACATTGTCAACATATGACCAGTGCCCGAATCAACAATCGGACTTAAGTTTAGATCTACTTATTTTTTACATGTAGAAATGAAGTTCTCTCATTTAGATCTGATTTCCGCCGTATATATTTGGCCTTCATTGTGATTTGGATTTCCCGATAAAGCTATTATTGACAATGCTTAGTTCAATTTACAATAAAAACTTCATCACTGCTGCATAAACTTACTGAAATTACGTCTACACCATTAGAGAAAGAACAAATCGCAAGGCAATAAATGACCAAGCTATGCGGAAATTTTCCTGGACATATTACTTGGGTTAAGGCTTTAAAACTTTAAACATGAAAAGTAGACCCTCCATTGTTGTACAAAATCGAATTTGCAACGTAATTGGTTGAATGGTTTTTGAACGGTAGGCTCGTAAAAATGATGTTTTTTCCCGAAATTTTTATAGAGAAAGAAAAAAGAACAAAAAGTGCAAAAAACTGACCAAGCCATGCGGAGATCTCCTGGAAATATTACGTGGGTTAGGGTTTTAAAACTTTAAACATGTAAAGTAGACTCTCCAAAGTTGTATAAAATCGAATTTTCAACGATATTGGTTGAATGATTTTTGAACGGTAGGCTCGTGAATATGATGTTTTTTGTTCGTTATTTATAAAGAGAAAGAACAAATCGCAGTGCAAAAAAATGACCAAGTCACGCGGAAAAATCATGGACATATTACTTGGGTCAGGGCTTTAAAACCGTACATATGTAAAGTGGACCCTCCAAAGTTGTACAAAATCGAATTTTCAACGATATTGGTTGAATGGTTTTTTGAACGGTAGGCTCGTGAATATGATTTTTTTTTCGTAATTTATATAGAGAAAGAACAAATCGCAGTGCAAAGAAAAAACGACCAAGCCACGCGGAAATCTCCTGGATCTGTTACTTGGGTCAGGGCTTTTTTTACTGAAAACATGTAAAGTAGACCCTCCAAAGTTGTACAAAATCGAGTTTTCAACGATATTGGTTGAATGGTTTTTCAACGGTAGGCTCGTGAATATGGTGTTTTTTTTTCGTAATTTATATAGCGAAAGAACAGATCGCAGTGCAAACAAATGACAAAGCCACGCGGAAATCTCTTGGAGATATTTCTTGGGTTAGGGCTTTAGGCCTTTTAATGTTCAAAGAAGACCCTCCAAAGTTGATGTCCGTGAAGTACGCGGGCTAACGGGCTAGCAGTCTAGCGGGCTAACAGTATGAACTGAGCGGGCTAGCAGTCAAGCGGGCTAACAGTGTGAACTGGGCGGGAAAGCAGTCTAGCGGGATAACAGTGTGAACTGGGCGGGCTAGCAGTATAGCGGGCTAACAGTGTGAACCGGGCGGGCTAGCGGGCCAGCGGGCTAAAATCTAAAACTTTATTTATTGAACATAAAATTGTTATGATACATTACCTGGCAGTGTGAAGTTGGCGGGCTAACAGTGTAGCGGGCTAGCAGTGTGAACTGGGCGGGCTGGCGGGCCAGCGGGCTAAAATCTAAAACTTTATTGAGTCAACATGAAAACGTTATGATACATTACCTGGCAGTGTGAAGTGGGCGGGCTAACAGTGTAGCGGGCTAGCAGTGTGAACTTGGCGGGCTGGCGGGCCAGCGGGCTAAAATCTAAAACTTTATTGATTGAACATTAAAACCTCATGATACATTTCCTAGCAGTGTGAATTGGACGGGCTGACAGTGTAGCGGGCTAGCAGTGTGAACTGGGCGGGCTGGCGGGCCAACGGGCTAAAATCTAAAACTTTATTGATTCAACATAAAAATGTTATGATACATTACCTGGCAGTGTGAAGTGGGCGGGCTAACAGTGTAGCGGGATAGCAGTGTGAACTGGGCGGGCTGGCGGGCCAGCGGGCTAAAATCTAAAACTTTATTGATTGAACATAAAAATGTTATGATACATTACCTGGCAGTGTGAAGTGGGCGGGCTAACAGTGTAGCGGGCTAGCAGTGTGAACTTGGCGGGCTGGCGGGCCAGCGGGCTAAAATCTAAAACTTTATTGTTTGAACATGAAAACGTTATGATACATTACCTGGCAGTGTGAAGTGGGCGGGCTAGCAGTGTAGCGGGTTAGCAGTGTGAACTTGGCGGGGCTGGCGGGCCAGCGGGCTAAAATCTAAAACTTTATTGATTGAACATTAAAACCTCATGATACATTTCCTAGCAGTGTGAATTGGACGGGCTGACAGTGTAGCGGCTAGCAGTGTGAACTGGGCGGGCTGGCGGGCCAAGGGGCTAAAATCTAAAACTTTATTGATTGATCATAAAAACGTTATGATACATTACCTGGCAGTGTGAAGTGAGCGGGCTAAGAGTGTAGCGGGCTAGCAGTGTGAACTGGGCGGGCTGGCGGGCCAGCGGGCTAAAATCTAAAACTTTATTGATTGATCATAAAAACGTTATGATACATTACCTGGCAGTGTGAAGTGAGCGGGCTAAGAGTGTAGCGGGCTAGCAGTGTGAACTGGGCGGGCTGGCGGGCCAGCGGGCTAAAATCTAAAACTTTATTGATTCAACATTAAAACCTCATGATACATTTCCTAGCAGTGTGAATTGGATGGGCTGACAGTATAGCGGGCTAGCAGTGTGAACTGGGCGGGCTGGCGGGCCAACGGGCTAAAAAAACTTTATTTATTGATCATAAAAACGTTATGATACATTACCTGGCAGTGTGAAGTGAGCGGGCTAAGAGTGTAGCGGGCTAGCAGTGTGAACTGGGCGGGCTGGCGGGCCAGCGGGCTAAAATCTAAAACTTTATTGATTGAACATTAAAACCTCATGATACATTTTCTAGCAGTGTGAATTGGACGGGCTGACAGTGTAGCGGGCTAGCAGTGTGAACTGGGCGGGCTGGCGGGCCAACGGGCTAAAATCTAAAACTTTATTGATTGATCATAAAAACGTTATGATACATTACCTGGCAGTGTGAAGTGAGCGGGCTAACAGTGTAGCGGGCTAGCAGTGTGAACTGGGGGGGCTGGCGGGCCAGCGGGCTAAAATCTAAAACTTTATTGATTCAACATTAAAACCTCATGATACATTACCTGCAGTGTGAAGTGGGCGGGCTAACAGTGTAGCGGGCTAGCAGTGTGAACTGGGCGGGCTGGCGGGCCAACGGGCTAAAATCTAAAACTTTATTGATTGAACATAAAAACGTTATGATACATTACCTGGCAGTGTGAAGTGGGCGGGCTAACAGTGTAGCGGGCTAGCAGTGTGAACTGGGCGGGCTGGCGGGCCAGCGGGCTAAAATCTAAAACTTTATTGATTCAACATTAAAACCTCATGATACATTACCTGGCAGTGTGAAGTGAGCGGGGGCTAACAGTGCAGCGGGCTAGCAGTGTGAACTGGGCGGGCTGGCGGGCCAGCGGGCTAAAATCTAAAACTTTATTGATTCAACATTAAAACCTCATGATACATTACCTGGCAGTGTGAAATGGGCGGGCTAACAGTGCAGCGGGCTAGCAGTGTGAACTGGGCGGGCTGGCGGGCCAGCGGGCTAAAATCTAAAACTTTATTGATTGAACATTAAAACCTCATGATACATTTCCTAGCAGTGTGAATTGGACGGGCTGACAGTGTAGCGGGCTAGCAGTGTGAACTTGACGGGCTAACAGTGTAGCGGGCTAGCAGTGTGAACTGCGCGGGCTGGCGGGCCAGCGGGCTAAAATCTAAAACTTTATTGATTCAACATTAAAACCTCATGATACATTTCCTAGCAGTGTGAATTGGACGGGCTGACAGTGTAGCGGGCTAGCAGTGTGAACTGGGCGGGCTGGCGGGCCAACGGGCTAAAATCTAAAACTTTATTGATTCAACATTAAAACCTCATGATACATTACCTGGCAGTGTGAAGTGGGCGGGCTAACAGTGTGGCGGGCTAGCAGTGTGAACTGGGCGGGCTGGCGGGCCAGCGGGCTTAACTTTAAAACTTAATTGAATCAACATAAAAACCTTACTATACATTTCCTAGCTGTATAAGCTCGGTGAGCTAACAGTGTAATGTGCTAGCAGTCTAGTGGTCTAAATTCCATACTTAATTATTTTAACACTAAATACAGTGTAGTTATTATGCATTTGTTTGAAGTGTGAACTCGGCGGGCTAACAATGATTGTTTCATATAGTATACACGATCCTTGAGAGTACACTAAATGGTTTTAAATCCGTATTGATATTTAAGTGATGCATGGTATACAGAAAAAACGATCTTAACTGAAACAGAAAAAAAAAC